AACTACCAATATTCCCATCAACCTCAGCTCTACTTTTTGTTTCCTTCTACTTAGCAAATATTAGCGTTCAAACATACTATGGTGAACATGTCAAACATTATACACCTGTTTACCATCAGCAAGTTAGTATTGTCATTGCGAGCATGTTAGCATGCCAACATTAGTATTTTGCTCAAAGCACCACCAAGCAGTCTCACAGTGCACCTAGCATGGCTGTAGACCCTTCTTACACCAAACAAGCACAAGTGAGGATGTGGGTAGCAACAACTTTACTTTGTATTTACTCTCTGCTTACTTCAACAAGTATTGGGACATTTGCATTATGGTTCCCTGAAGACATTAGCGAAGACAAATAATTTCCTTCCAGTGACAGCAGACAGTTGCTTTAAGGCTGAAAAAGGTTGGCTACAGGAGGAATAGCTTAAGTTGTAGATATGTCCTACTCTTACTTCAAATATTTTCTATAGAGATGACAGGAGACTCTCCCTTGCTTATTTCCTGTCAAGAGCTGCGCATACAGCATTCACTCTATCCCTCGCATGCACAACCATTAAACACTGGTATAAAACCCTTTAAACGACATGAATTATAGACAAGAATATTACACATCGCCCTTATCCATCACATCTCTCACTTACCAAGTCGTACATCCACAGTGTATTGGCTCGACGTCACTTTGACTCCACCAAGCAGTCCCACACATACGTAACAGCCCTCATATTCCTTCCTCACATTGCCGATGATGACGCCTCGCTGGAGGTTGCTGCGGTAACTCATACCAGAGGGCAAAGGTCGTCCATCGCAGGTCTCCAATGCCAGGAGGTTGACCTCGGGGTCGGTCACAAGACAGGGGATGGTGCAGTTCTCACCCGCACGCACCAGGATGACGTTCACCATGGTGCGCTGAAAAGCATTCTGGGTGTCTGAGGAGATGAAAGAGAAAAGGAGATTTGGATTGATAGACTTTATTAGATGGACACACGTGTAATCACATGCCTGCCCCACCTCGAACACCCACCTTTCACATATACATAGATGGAGCTGTGTTCCAGTGTGTTGTTGTTGACACACACGTAACGTCCCATGTGGTAGGTCTGCGCTGCTGACACCTTGACATAAGCCACTCCGCCGTCCTCCACCTCTCCCTCCAGCCTGCGAGTCCTCTCCCTCTGCCACCTCAACCTGGACGGGGCGCCAGACGTCGTGGCATTGTCATGGCAACGCAGCTCCAGCTTCCCCCTCTTGGGAACCACTACGTGAGGCCCGCTGGGGGAGATGACTGGCTCGCACCACACTGGAATAGAGGACATACAGTATGGTTGACGTATGCTAGGACACCTGGATGCTATTTTTAAAGGCTGTGAAGGATTTGGGTTTGGGTAAATCCAGCACAGAAGGAAAAAACCTGCTGCTTTCAGTAACGCTAGTGCTGAAGAATTACTAGCTCTATGAGGAATAGCAGGAAAGAGATGGAAATCAATAAAAGCAAATAGCAGTGTAGAAGGGCTGAAATTAAAGATTTTCTGCATTACAGATTAGTATTCAGATTATTTAGATTATTTTTAATTGTTTAGTCTTTAAGACAATTTCATAAAACCCAAGACATGTAATAAAATGGCTGTTTTTCACTCCAAAACAAAAAATATATTAGCACATAAGACAAAGAAAAAAGTCCTCACATTTAAAAAAGCTGTAACAAAACAGTGTTGAAAAATTACTGAAACGATAAATCAACTTCAAAAATTGTTGTTTTTCTTTCAAACGATTAATCGACTATCCATTTGAGCTCTGCGGGGTAGAATATAGAATAAGTCCATGAATTGATGTTAAATAGGATGTTATGATTGGCACGGAGCCCCTTTAAGATAGAGTGCTTTCAAATCACCATGGCTCAGTTGAACAATCAATAATTATGAGCTGTTACCCGCTGAGTAATCATGCATTAAGGCCCCTAAATCCATACCCTTAAGATGAGTAAACTAAACTAACATTTTCTTCTCAGTTTATCCCCACCAGCTACCCTCTTCCAAGTTTTCTCTTCTTTCCCTTTTTTTTCCACATGATAGGCGCCATTTCAAGAACAAGATCTTCATGTGACTGTTGTGCCTTCAGGCTTGACTGAGAAAGCAAGAAGGGGAGACATGTGGATTCAACTAGGCCCCTTCTAAAATATCTGTCTTTTTTGGCAAGGCTGTAAGTGCTTGTTTTATTGCTGCTCTCTGTACATATTTGTGCTTTACAGTTGTTCCTGTGTTATCTGAGTAAGCAAAAGGTTTCACACAAATCCTGAGGCTGTTGTATGGCCAAACACAAAGCATTCATCACAGCAGTCAGAGCGGTTAAGATGTCAAGATGCTGCTGGGTGTGTGAAAAGATGTGCGTTTTCTTTGTTCCTCCTGTTGCTGTGCTAAGGCGCACAACCTAATCCCCTTTTATTTCGGTATGATTAATAATTTATCATTCTCAAACAGTGGTCGAAACACACACACACACACACACACACACACACGCACACACACCTGTTGCCTGCCGGGAAAAGCAAACCAATGGCATCTCCCACCTATGCAAATAAGTCCTGATATGATCTGTAAACTTGAGCTGACAGGTTGCCCACACTGTACCGTTAAACAGCACTTTATGTAAACCGTCAACCACGTTTCCAGTAAGCAGTAATGTGGGGACGGTATTCATGCTCTTGAGTAACAAACACAGGTAAGAGAAGCCGCACTAAGCATGCGCAATGTAACGCTGCTTTTTATCGGCTGTTCACACCTGAGTTAGTCTGGCGCAAAAAGACCGTGAATAGAGACACTAACAAAGCAGGGACAATCGTTTTGAGACAGAACAACAAGTCAGTCATCTGAAAAGACACCATATCCAAATCTAGATTTTGCAGTAATATCACTAATAAACGGTATGACAAATATAAACTCTCCACTAAAGGCATCTCATGTCTCTCGGAATATGATAGCATTAAGACATAGGCTAATAATTTATTAAAGTACTGCTGGGTAAAGGGATAAAGTCACTATAAAGTCATTATAGAGAACACAGACACACCGAGAGCCGCTGTAGACACGTTAAAGCAATAGTCCAATGGTTTCTGTAAGGTTGGACCTGTTTTCTTACCTGTCAGTGGCAGCAAAATAAGATGTGAGGCAAAAACAACCCAGTGGCATCTCATGATTAGGCGGTTTTCAAGCCTTTCACTCTACTCCATGCGTTTCAAGTGCGAGAATAACCATCGTGAGCTTAAAAACAACACCAGATCCCATCCACCGCAACCACACACGGAGCAGGTCCCTCCACCGTAATGAGCGCACAAACACACAGTGATCCGGTAGGCTGCGACTGCATCTGATGGATTTCACTGGAGCTTAAAGACACAGTGCAGCGCCTCTCCTGCCTGCCCTGGATCCCTGCCACTCCTTTCTATCCCGCATTGGCTGGAGGCTGGCCAAGGTGATGAGTCGGTTATTACCGGAGCAATCTTCATCGTTTCTTACACAGTCATTGCGACAAAATAACAAAAAAAAAAATAATGCCAAGAAATTCTCCAATAATGGAAGTGCTGATTAAACAAAACACAAAGGAATGAGTGCTCTTGGTCAAAAGGGCGGCTGTAAATGTTTATCACAGACAGGCAGGAGTTTCCCCTGCAGAAAACCCTTTCAGTTTGTGATGCACTTCCTTGTCTCACGTTTCTCAGCTCTAATCAGCATTATCTGTCTCACTTTTCACCTCTCACTGTGGTGACTACACGGACTCCACATTTTCAAGACCCACCACTAAGGCCTATATACACCTCAACAAAATTTATTTTAGATATCTATCAGTCATTACCCAGACTTCAACCTGTTCAATACATGGTTTGGACACTGTAATTCTTATGGAAAGTGACCTTAAAGCTCTTCACTATTATTTGTTCTAACCTCCAAAACTTGTTATAATGTTTAATTTGTTATGGTGCTCCTCAGTAACATTGTCAGGTAAATTAGGTTGTTGCAAGACACTAACAGTCTGGACTAACTAAATGTATTTACTTAAATCTAACAAAGCTGTTTTCAGAGAAGCATTTTAAGTTTATTTTCAGGGCCTCGTGGTAAGAGGCCCTGAGAAGCCTTGTAATTTGCTTTATGACTTGCCTCTGTATGTTTTTGTTCTATGCAAGCTTCTGTTACTCTTTTTTGGCATTTAACTTTCATTGACGAACAGTGAAGAGAGACACGCATTAGGGGGAGACGGGGGCGGTGCTATGCAGCAAAGGGCCTCAGGTCGGGCCGTTGCGGTAAGGACCCTGTCTTGACACATTGTGAGCTACCCGGAGGCCCGTTTTCTGTCAGTTTTGTGTGTATATCTTTTGATCTATGTGTGTGTGTGTGTGTGTTTCCTGCTGCTCTAGAGGAATATGTAAGAGGACAATGGGGCGGTTGTGTTATTTTTCTTACACACATGATTCATTTCTAACCTCACTGCATTGCCCCAATGTTGTTTATGCCTTTCTCAGCACATGATGAAAGGACGAGGCTAAACAAACTAGAACACAAGCAGAACATCACGTTAATTGATTTTTTTACTTGATAAGTTTGTTTGTTTTTCCAGTATAATTTTCTGGGGAACAAATGACTTGTAACGGTTCTAGGTTTTTTTTCTATCACCAGTACAATAACTGTGGGGAATCTAATTTCTGCACGCACACACACACACACAAACACATTCAGACTGGGGCTTTAGGACATTTGGACATTTTTTCTTCCTGATATCTATGCAAAGAGGACCAACTGCTCTTTAACAAAGATAAACAGAAGCACAGTCAGATATGTTGTTGGGTCATGCCAGTCATTGTAATATAGCATCGTTCTTCCAAGGAAATAATGCAAAATAGACTGTTTTGTGGCTGCAGTCTGAAGCTGGGATTATGATCAAATAATCTGCGACGTGCATCCTTTGGACAGTGATGACGGTAGAGAGAGGGGAGGAGGGTTTTTACTGAGAAGTCTGGGGTGAGAGAGGGCAGCCTAACCATGTGCTTGAGAAAGATATTTTTGCAGGCTGTGATGCCTCAGAGGGGTATTTTATATTTTATTAAGTTTTGTTGTTTCTCACTAAACATTGGGTCAACTTCACAATCTGGTTGCACATCTGACGTAAAGGCAGGACATGCAGCCTGAAAGCGTACCCCAAACATTCATCACACATGTCTTGGTCTCAGTAAAAATTAAAGGAATAGTTCAACATTTTGGGAAATTGGTGTATTCACGTTCTTTGCCTCTATCTAAGAAGAACAAAATCTGCCTAGCAGCACCTCTAAAGCTCACTAATTAACATGTTGTAGAAAGTCTAGAAAGGGCAATTGGGTTTCACAGGGGGGTTATGACTATGTCTTGATTGGGACCAATAACCTTCTGGAGTTTCCGCTGATTGCCTGGCAACTGCTCAAAGCCAGGAAATAATAACACCCCCATAAAATGGCTAATTACTTGTGTTTGTGTACGAATTAAACAAATGAGGCGTGACGTGTTTATTAGGGAGCTTTAGAGGTGCTGGTAGGCGGTGGATTGTGTTACCTTTCGAACAGAGATATGTGAGCTCAATCGTTTTTAATCTTCACTAAGCACAGACTAATCCAATTCAATATCTTGCACAGAACATAGTATAAGATATACAAATTTAATAATAACATCTCGCCTGTAGGCCAGAATTGATGAATGCAGATCTTTCACATATGATCTGGCCCTGCCCAATGATTGCATAGTTCTGGAAATATGTTATTAAAACAACCTCAGAAATAATATAAAAGCATATTCCACATGATCCTATAGTCTGGATCCTAGGTGACTTTGACTGTTTTAAAGGAAAGTACATTTTGTGATGTTTTTGAGGTATTACAGTTTGTTTTTAATCCCGTCTTATCATCTTATTGCCTGTATTTTCATCAATAAAAAGAGCATTATAAAAGAAAAAGGTATGCTAGCTGTCCCCTCTACCTTCTGCCGGGTGAAGCCTTATTTAACAGATGGACATTTAGAGTGGTATCACTCCTCTTATCTGACTTCTGTGACCAAAAGTGACTAAACCCATTTCCCAAAACTTATCCTTCAATGACAGATTTACTTTTTTCCATCCAGCTGGAGACCTTCTGCTGAATAATCTGCCATTAGACAAAGGAAAACCTGCACTTCAGGGTGTCAAAGTACAATCCACCTGTCCACCAGCCCATAGTCCAGCTGCCCATATGTTGTATGAACATGTCACTGTGTTTTTGTGTATGAGTGTGTGTGTCCATCAGGATCATCCATATGTCTAACTGTCCACTGAGTTCACATGTCATTTGAGCAGTTTATATGCCTTTCCCTATTACATTATTCATCATTGAGGTGAGCGTCTATAGCAGATCTTGGCTGACTCACTATGACTTTGTGTGTGTGTGTGTGGACCCAAAGCATGACTCACTCAGTGCTTTTAGACAGATGAGGACAGCGGTCTCGCAGAGGGCAACAGAGGTTTTATACAAGAAAAATAGCCACTTAGATTAGATTACGTAATGAAAAACATTCCTCTCTCTCCTCGTTCTGTCTCTCTCATTCTCTTTCACCTTCCCCCTTCTCCCCTCTCTCTCCTCGGCTCTCTTCTCCCTCTCTCCTTTCTCCTTTTTAGTGACGCACACACACATCCTAACTCAATCACCCTACAAATGGAGCTATCTTCACACCCTCAGGCAGGCACATACGCACACCTTCCCCTGTTTGCACAAAACCACACAGGAAAACACACACTTGGACGTAGAGAGATTTCAACTCAAAGAATACCTCATCGTTTCTCTGTTCAATGATTGGCCAGAAGCTCATCATAACCTTTTTTTCTAATGCAATCCAACACTGTTCTCTGTCTGCTGACTGGACATTATAAACCTGATATCGGTGTCCATTTGTCTCCTTTAATACAGTCAATGCAATGGAGGTTTTTTTTTTTTTACCCACTCTGTGTGGTTGTTAAGTGTCCATCCATGGTTGAATTGTGGTGTTTCACATATCAATTATGACCCATCGAACAGATCGGACTAAGAGGCGGGTCAAAAAAATAAAGAACATTTCCTCAGAGAAGCAAGGTAAGGCCTTGGAAGTACTTTGATTGCATCTTGTTCTGTATGTTGCAGTTCAGAGCTCACATTTTCCTGACTTGCAACTTTGAAGGAATAGTTGAAGTTGAAGTAAAATATGCTTATCCACTTTTTTTGGACGTAGTTGGACGATTGATACGACAATGTCAGTCTATTTTTGTAATCTGAACAAAACCTGAAGTACAAAAAACACAATTTGACGTACTCGGGGGGTTAAATGCTGGACTATTTCTTAGACAGCAACAGTGACTTCCTGGAGTCTTCACTGGTTGCCTGGCAACCGCGGAGAGCCAAGAAATAGTCAAATAACGCCTGTAAAACCATTAAGTTGATGTTTTTACACTTCGGTTTTTGTACAAATTGACAGACATGGTATAATTTGTTGATTGGTTAGCTTTACAGGTTCTGGAAGGTGGATTTTGTTACCTTTGGACAGAGCCATGCCTTCTGTTTCCAGTCTTTGTGCTCAACTAAGCTAAGTGGTTGTTGCCTGTTGCTTAATATTTACTGTAAAAACATGAACGTGGTATCAGTCTTCTCATCTAGTTCTCCAACTGAAAGATGTTCCCAAGAACTTTTGCCTGAAGCAGTAAGATAGAGGGAAATTATGCAGCTGTGCACATTGTTGTTTTGCAATGAACTTCTGATGCCAAGCGTCAGAGCAAAATAAGTTATATCTAATCTCAAATCTTAATTGCACATCAGTAGAAACAAATTACAGTTTGTTTAATCACATTTGCAACAATTATCTCATATTCGGAGGTTTTAGCTTGAGACAAATCTGCATTTACTTCTACAACAGATGGATCTTTGTATTAGAAAACAAAAGAGTAGAAACGGCCACGTTAAGCTGTCACGTATGGCATCACACTGTTGAGATACCATATGTTTGATCCAAAGAGATGATGTGGATTGAAAATGTGCCAGGGCACATATCTGAGTAAGCTAATATCAGCGTGTGTAATTACTGATAGCCCAATGATCGCCCTCTGTCTGGATAAACCTGATTAGCATCGACTAGGCTTTAAACTGCTCTAATCCACCGTAAGGAAAGAAGGATGGACACAGGGAGGGAGGAAGCACGGAGCCAACAAGAGACAGAGAGAGAAATGGGATGATACAGAGGGTGAAGGGGAAAGGAATGAGAAAAAGGAAAAGAGGAGAGGATGGAGAGCAGAGAGGATAGGGATGTAAAACAAGAGGAGGGAGGAAGAGGAGGAGCAGGTCATGGAAGTGAAGAGAAGCAGCGAATTACGTCAGAGCAGTTCACAGCCTGAGGGAAAACCAGAGGAGCAACACATGAAACTGAACTTCAATATCTGCCTCCTCTTCTCAGTTTTATTTCAGCGTTTTTCTGTAATGGTTGTCAGCATTCCCATTACATTTAGTACTGTATTGTGCGGTTCTCTCTTTCTCATTTGCCAGTTTATTAGGTACCCCTAAAGTAACTGATGCAGTGTAATACAACAGTCCTGCAGTAAATCCTCCCTTCATGAAGGTTAGGATGTTATTATTGAAGCCGTATGAGAGGCATTGATTCAACTGGTAGTTTTGGAGGACATAGTTTGTGGCGCTGTTTAGCTGTAAACTACAGAGAGGTGTTTCTGTTATTTAGGCTTCCCTAAGCGATATAAATAGAGTGGACAAAATAACAGACTAAAACTGAACATTATCTTTCATGAAGGTAGGATTTTGTATTAGACTGTATTAGCTTTAGCTATGTATACTGAGAGAGTGGGATACTTAAATAGAAAGAAAAAAAGCTTCAAATGGGGGAAAAGAGGTGGAGAAGAAAAGAGGGAGGGAATGTGATCAGAAAGGCAGACGGGATAAAAGGAGCAACAGAGATTTGAGAAGCGATGAGGTTGGGGGAGACAGAGTGAATGAAATAAATGTAATTTCCATGATCAGTTTAACTGAGAGACCATTGGCATCCCTCTCTCTTCACTGCCTCCCTGTGTGTGTGTGTGTGTGTGTGTGTGTGTGTGTTAGTGTAATGTGAACACAGAGATCGACACAAAACCTCACACATATGATGTGATACAGTAGATCCTAGTGATACGAAAAAAAATCAATGTACTCACAAATATGAAATTACCACTGTGTGTGTGTGTGTGTCTGTGTGTCTGTGTCTGCATGCTCATGTCTATATACATGTGTATGTGCATATACATTCTTAATTTCATTTCAGCATTAGATACATCAAAGTATGTGTGAATGTTGTCCATGCCTCTGAATAATCACCACTGTAAATAAGTGATAATAGCTAGAGTGATGGTGAAAAGAGAAAATGAGAGAATCCACATATTTCCTTGTCATTTACTGACAAAGCTAAAGTGGCCTCCACTTAACTGGTTAAAACCATAAATGCATTAACAATCCTCTTTGCATTAACAGGATAACTTCTTGTGCAAAAGAACCACAGCGGCAATCATGAGAGTCAGTTCACTGATGAGCCTGCAGCTGCTGCTTGATCTCATAAACTTATGAAGGGACGGAGAATATAAAACTGTCATTCATTTAGGCCTCTATTTGTGAATTTAAATACTGTTACAGTTAGCGTGTTATAATTGATAACTAATAACTAATGTGGTTTATACTGCTGGGAAAGGTGGGATTTTATGAGATACCTAAACTACTGAGATACAGCATGCATGATGGGTAGACTGTGTGGGTTTTGTCAGAAATTAAAGAAAAAAAAGATTCTGAGAAATTAAATTGAGAATCACTTGCAGGGCTATAAATGGACTGGCTCCAAGCTCAAGACTTACTAAGTTGATACATGAACTGGTGAACATTTAGGTCAGTAGAATCAACTCTTTTCACAGTTCCAAGCCTGGATTTGCAACCCAAGGTGGCTGTGATTTGCTGTCATGAAACCTAAACTACCATTTGCAAGATGCACAGTTATATTTTCTTCAGCTAAAACCTGAGTTTGTTGACTTGCATTGTTTTATGTCTCCAGGATTATAAAACATTTTAGTTTACTATTTCTTTGTCATTGTATAATCCTATTAATTTCTTCACATACTCTGCTTAATCAGTTGTGTTACATGTGGTATTATTGTTATTAAAAGCTATATATTTTACAATGAGAATGTTTTCTCTTTTCCAGCAATGTCCTGTTTACATCCACACAGTTATAGAGTCATATAGATTATTACAGTAAATCCAACAGCCACAGTCTTAATGTTGTTGCTGGAGCAGTTATGGGTGGAGTGTCTGGTTCATTTCCTCGGCAGCCCAGAAATTAAACCCTGCAACTTTTCACTCCCAACTGCAGTTCTCTGTGTTACATTTAACAATATTTTATATTGCTACACTTTATGGCCAAAAGTATGTGGACACCACGGTGCACATGCTATTGTCTTCTTATGGTCTGGGGTTGTTTTCTATACTTTGTGTGAAGGGCTTTAGTTCTACTTAAGATAAATACAATGATATTTTAGACAATACAATGCTCCCATCTCTGTGGCAAGTTAGGTAAAATGCAGCACTTTGTCATTTTGATTTCAGATGATATTGTAATTTGGGGGTGCATGCTCACAAATGTGCAGTCTCTTGGCTGAATGGGAGCAAATCCCTACAGCCTGTTCTTGTGGAAAGTCTTTCCAGAAGAGAGGAGGCTTGTGTAGAAGCCATCATTGTTTTGGAACGTGTTCAACAATCACATGTGGGTGTATTATGTGGATGTCCTCATACTTTTGGCCATGTAGTGTATTTTCACAGTTGAGGGTTATTTGCCCCTGGATCACCAGGCAGAGGCCCTGGGGCCCAAGGAGTCAGGAGTCAACTAAGTCTCTGTGTCATATGACTACAGGGGATTCAGTAAGTATTCCTTTTGAAAAGCATCTTTACTTTGAAAAACAAAACACGTGGGTATATTGAATACAAAAGCACATTTATTTACACCAATTTACTACAAAGCAGTGGTGCAATGTAACTAAGTACATTTACTTAAGTACTGTGCTTAAGTAGAATTTTAAGGTACTTTACTTGAGTATTTCCATTTTTATATACCTTTATTATACATTTGGAAGCTAATATACTTTCTATTCCACTACATCTAATTTACACTACTACTTACTTAAAAAAAAAAGACCAGTGTGTAGGATTTAGTGGCATCTAACAGTGAAGTTGCAGATTGCAACTAACTGAACACCACTCGCGTCTGTATTTGACAACCTGGGAATGAGAACGGGCTGTGTGTAGAATAAACTACGGTGGCCACAAAACTCGTGAACAATGCGAAAGGCCCTATCAACAGCCAGTGTTTGGTTTGTCCATTCTGGGCTCAACATGGCGGACTCCATTGAAAAGGTGACGTTACAGCATCTATTGATAAAAACAACTCATTCTAAGGAAACACACAGATTCATATATTCATATAATTTCTGCTAATAGATCATCCTAAATGTTACACACTGGACCTTTAAATGAGTTAGTTGCAGATTTAGATTAGCATTATGAAATATAATGAACTAATACATTATGATGTATTATAATGGATTAAGATACCCAGCAGTATAGAAAGTAATTGAAATGAGCCCCACCTACCAGCTGCAACATTAAGCGCTGTACTCATTAATATGTCACTAATTATAATTCAGTGATATCATTTGAGGCCAATACTCCTCCTTTACTCCCATCACTGCTAGAAAGTAATCCAAACAAATGGGTAGATGGAGTTTGTAATATCAATAGTATGGGGAATGGGTGAGGGAGTGTGTGCTGTATCGGGGTTGTATTGTGAAGAAGAAAAGATAAAATAACAAAAGCCACAACATGAGAACTGTGGGGACAAGAAATCTCAACAGGACTGGCTGCTACTCTGGTCTTACATTATTTAATCTTCCTCATGTGGGACATTAGACCAGAGTGAGCTCCCTCCATCATCCCGTATCCTTGTTGCAAGCCCCTGCGGACAGGACGGAACAACACCTTCATAAAGTGTGTCTGGAGGTTTGACAGGAGGCCTTTGAGGGAAATGTGCTCTGGGCAGGGGCCATATCTGCCACACAATATACAAAAAAACTAAATATAACGACAACTAACACTTATTTCATGAGTTTATTTTGTGAACTGGCAGCACCTCCCAACAAGCTCTACCAGAATGAATGAAGCGTGATGCATCCTGGCCGACAGGGGGCGCTGTGTCTTCTGCACCAACACTTTGACCTTAGCGGGACACAGACGACCTCTTCCGGGTTCACACTGACTCGCAGAGGTTGGAGATGAATCTATGAAAGCATCATTTCTGTATATATAACAGCGTTTTCTCGCCGACGGGATCAACTGTGCGTGTATTTGTGCATCCAGAAGCGTCTGTTGAACGTTGTTTTGGCGAAGCGGCCGCTGGGTTTGTTGCTCTGGGTTAAATTATCTGAACATGTCTGCGGAAGAAGCGGACAAAACAACCACCACGGATGCCAGCGCTGGAGACGAGGAGGAGGAATGGCTGTATGGAGGTAAAGAAAGCAAACACAACTCTACGTGACCGCCAGAGACACGTTTCTAAGTGTGTGTGTGTGTGTCTCTGATGTTCAGTGAACTGCTCACCAACAACACTGCGCTGTTAGGAGAGGGTTAGCTGCAGAGTTAGCCTGGAAGCTAAGCTATCAGCGCCTGTTTGTTTGCTTTGTCGGCCTTTTGCAGCCGGATGACTTAAGAAAAGAAAGGTTAAAGATGCCCCAGTGATTTATTAAGTTAGTGTTCAACCTTTTAGATGTGGTAAATGATGCGTGCGTTTAAACATGAGCTGCCATTGGATAGCCTCCAGGGTTGAGTTAGCTCGTTAACGTTATTGTGGAGAGAATTAACGTTTGTTGTTGTTGTTGTTTATTTTTCATCTTTCAGACGAGTCTGAGAGCAAAGAGGAGGACGAAGAGGCTAAACTGAATGCTGCTGTCAGGTATTTAACGTCTCTGTACATCCATATAAACACTTGGAGCTTGTGTAAGTGAAGTAAAAAATAAATGTAAAAGACTCATGAGACACCTGTTTGCATCCAGAGAGGGAGGTGATGTTCACAGCCGCAAGGAGAAACCATATAAAGGAGCATAAACCCTCTTATTATTCCACACAGCCAATAGCTATGTTATAGTAGCTTTCAAAGAAATGTGTATAGATGGACTGACTGTTGCACACATTACAGTTGTACAGATTTATTTACAGATTCGTGAAAAAATTAATATTTATTGTGCTTTTCATCATCTTGCTTTCCTTTGTTTCAAAGTGTTGCAGATGTAAGCAACCCTTTTACAACACCAGAAAAACTATTAAGTATTGTGTCTTGTGTCAAAGTGTACCTTGTTAATCATGTGTTACATTTGCGTTGTGATAAAGTTTGCTTGGAAAAAGTGAGCACTTAAACTTTTGTGGTGCATTACTCAACTTCTCCCCAAGCAGGGGACAAACCTAAGAGCTATGAACTAGCATGCAGATATTGATGAGAAACATATTTTGTATGCAGTGCTTATACGGTAATCAATCACTAATGAACAATAAATAAATAATAAACAAAGATCCAGACAACTTTTTGTCTGCATCTTTGAAAGCCCATTTCTACACAGTTTTTGATGATGATGTTATTGTTCTTTCTTAGGTTTCATTTGCTATTTGTCTGGGATTTTGGAAACACATTTTTGTTGTTTCAGGATGTTTTGGTTGTTATGTGCTGTCTGTATGTTTAATGCTTCATTTTATCTACAGTGCACCTGCTGATGCTTCATCAGAGGATGCAGCTGCACACGCTACAGGGAATGGAGTGGGCTCCGAGGTAGGTCACACTATGTATTCTGACTTTTTGTCTGTTTTGCTTACCTCCCAAATTTCAGACCTCATTCCTCTCAGAGTTTTTGTCCGTCCCTCTCAGAAATGCTCCTGTCTCAGCCTTTTTTTTCTCTCCCTGTCTTATCAGGCCACAGGTGAGGCTGCGGGTGAGGATGTTGACAGCGACAGCGACAGCGATGATGACGATGATGACGTCCGCGTCACCATTGGAGACATAAAAACTGGAGCACCACAATACACGTAGGTTTTAGTCAAAGTGTAGTCTTAAAAGTTATTGGCTACTTTAACTGAGCTAACTGTTTTTAGTTTAGTTGTAAACAAAGTTTCTTGTGTTTGTACACCATCAGCACATTTAGAAGTTAGATACCGAATTGACATGTCCTGTTTCTTTACTTGTGAATGCTATTATACGTGGTGTATGTGACAATTCTAATTAGGAGTACACTTTGTAATGTATCAGTGATAGAGTTTTATTTCTTTTTTCCCTCCTAGACCTTATGGAGCTCCACCTGTCAATCTCAACATAAAGACAACAGGCTCCAGACCTTATGGACAATGTATTACTCTCTATTCTTCACTCTTTTTCTGTTTTGACCATAAAAAAACTGCTTTTTTTTGTCTACACTGTTCTGCTGAAAATACACAGAATGTAAAAATTGGACACAAAGAGCAGTAAATAGTTGTAAATGTGTAAATGTTGTGTTGTTTATTTTCATTAGCCTCAAAGCTGAAGGGAGTGGATCTGGATGCTCCTGGAAACATTAACGGGGTTCCGGTGCTGGAGGTGGAAATGGAGTCCTTCGAGGAGAAACCCTGGAGGAAGCCAGGTCAGTCTGTGTGTGTAGTTAATAAACTGTCAAAAGGTGTAACTGTTTCTTTTAGACATGTACAGTATTTAACAAGTTGTGTGTGTGTGTGTGTGTGTGTGTGTAGGAGCGGATCTGTCAGACTACTTCAACTACGGCTTCAATGAAGACACATGGAAGGCTTACTGTGAAAAACAGAAGAGGCTGCGCATGGGCCTGGAGGTCTCCACTGTCGGTTCAGTGACGAGCAAGATCACTGTGAGCGCCCAGTGCTTACTCTGTCTGTTTCACCACCTGTCTGTCTCTCCCTCTCGTCAGTTAGTTTGAATCAGGGCAATTTGCCAACTTCCTGAATGTTATATATATTGTGAAGAGACCGCCTTCAGTAAAATGACCCTGATTGACTGTATCTACTGTGAAATCAAGACAAACTGTCTCTACTTTGATTTTAAGCTGTTTTTTCTCTCTTTCTTAGGTTCAGCAGGGCAGGACAGGAAATGAGAAAGACATATCCAGTTTACCTGTTCACACCTCTAAGCCAGACTTCACGTCTCCTGTCAGCCTGTACAAGTCTGCCGTCACTCAGGTCACCAGGTAACACTTCTGCTTTTGTTGTCACTTATTGAGATATCTGGTAATATAACACACGTGCAGTTTCCACTAGAAGGGATGTATATAGAAAAGTAGATGAGCTAAATATAAGTCTGTTTCCATCCACCTGTTTTTATGTGCGTTTTCAATTTATGCATAGTGAAGGAGTGAAAAGGCTAGGAATAAAACGTCCAAAGACAGCAAGAACGTCTTTTCTCCCACTTGACTGAGGTGGCAAAATTTGTATATTGATAAAAGATACATCATGATCTGTTTGCAGCAATGACACTGTAACAACTTGATATATATAAATGCCATATTACTATCATGTTTTCCCCATGACAGACACTCTTAATGTCATCTTGCTGTACCCTCTTCTTCTGCAGTGGTTTATTGGTACCCAACTCCAGTGCCACCAGCTGTTTATCTCAGTGAACTAACTCCTAAAATTCACCTAGTGGTCGAGGATGGAAACGTGCATTAATTTGCCTTTTTTATTTTTTATTTTTTTACTGATTTTTCTAGAAATTTGTTTAAAAGTTGCGCTATACTTGAAAGGAAACCTGACTTATGTGTCTAAACATGGCAGGGCTGGAAGAGGAGATTTAATGCAAGAAAGATCACACAAATATAGTTAACTGGCCATCTTATTTAGGATGGTCTGTGTGGCAGCACTAGTTTGTTCTGAAGGAAACTGCACCAACATGCTAGCTTGACTCAGACTGACACACAAAAACACACCTGGTCACCTCCAGGTTTACCGGTGGTCCCTGTGGTTAAAATAGGTCACCATCCCATGGGCTGTATGTGCGTGTTTGTGTGTGTTAGGGCCGATGTTACTCTCATCTCCTTTACCCCTGTCCTTTGTTTCAAAATGGTAGGATCTCTCCCCCTCAGTGGACTGGCCCGCCTGTTCAGGACATGTCCTATTATACGTAAGTGGGCATGGCCTTGGCCCTACAAGGTTAAATGGGCCTGATGGGGAAATGTGTACATGCTTAAACGAGGGGCCTGGTGTTTTTCTTGACCATGAAACGTGACCACAGAAAAACCCCCGGCGTTACTTCCAAGGCCCCAAAGATTCTTTGCCCATGTTTGTGTCTTTTGGGGTAGTTGATGTGCATGTGTCATAAAGTAGAAAGTTAATATAAGTTTAGAGCTTTAAAAAGAAAAAAAGGACGAGACACCAGAGTCATGATAGCTGAATCCACTATGAGAATTACTTGCTCACATCGAAAGGTCATTTTGTAGTGATTAGACAAATCATTAACTCATTATCTCAGAATTTTCTTTCTTAAAGTTACCACCTTAACATCTGCATACCTCCTTTATAGTGTCTATTTCTATTTTGCACAGTGAAGGATATTTGCTGTAAGGCAAGATGTGGTTGGATTTGATAGGATGTGCAGAAGCCTGATTGCCAAATGTTAGAAAAGCTCAAACATTGTGATGGTTTTGTTGACTAATGTGTTGAAAACCACTGAAATGCAGTTTTCAGTCACCATTTAACGGGACACAATTGTTTCTGACACTAACTAGTTATAAAGAGCTCTAAAAGGCTGAAGTAAAATCTCTGACCACAATAAAAAAGTAACTCTAAATCTTGTTGGCATTAGGCTAGGTCAGTAAATAAATATCAGCTTATTGCGGCTATGTTGGTATCGGTATATGCCGATAAGTAACAAGAAAGTGCAGTACAGAAATGTGTGAGTAGGTTCTAGGTTCACTTTAGAAATGGTGTCATTACATACTCTGTCCACTAGAAAGCTCTGACAGGTTTTTACACTATAAAATGCTCAGAATGTATATTGGTCACAGTTCTGTATCAAGATTGATTGTTTATGTTAAACAAATATTGTATCAAATCAGTTTCAGCCTCAAAAATCCAGTTTTAGTTTGGCAGTCATATGTCAAAGTGTGCATTTTGCGGGAATGATTTAGGACATTGTCTGAGACTTTCATGTGACTTATTTTGTAGTTTATGTACATTGCTTTTTTGTTTTTTTGTTTTTTTTTGCTTATTCTGCTTATTCTGTGCGTGGAAGTAGACAAGTGTGAATGTGTCAATTGTTTTGGAAACTGCTCGGTGCCTTGATTTTTATTTTTTATATCCTTTTCCCAGGAAAACGCCCGGCACAATAGATGTGATTGGTGGACAGACGGCCACCATCAGCAGGGTTGAAGGGCGACGCAGACACAATCTAGATGGCAACAATATCCAGGTGCACAGAACATTGACAGTCACTCTGAATCAATGGATGTTGTACTACAGGCTTATTTAAAAGAAAGTGTGTGTGAGTGTGTGTTGTCATCACAACCTCTCTTGTCTGCAGGTGATCGCTGAACAATCAGATTCTGAGCCGACTCCCGCTAAGATACCCGCCTTCTTCCCTCCTGGACCAATTCCTCCAAACATACCCCCACCTCCTTTCCTCCCTCCGCCACCCAACGTCAGCGCTGCACCCCCACTCATCCCCCCGCCCAGTAAGTTGATCATCATCTTTTTATTTCTCAGCTGGGCTCTTAGTGTATTTGATTTTAAGCAATCATCCTATCTTACCCTGTCTTTGCTGTGTTTTATGGTTTGCCATGTGTTTATTCTCTCCCCTCACTTTCTCTCATGTAGGGTTGCCCATTACTGTCCCTCCTCCTGGTTTTCCTCCTCCACCTAGTGGGCCCCCTCCTGCTATTATCCCCACTATGGACAGGTAATACCCATGTAAACACACATAGACATACACACACACTTTAAAGGCCTTATTTCAATTGTACAAGCACAACAACAAGTGCAAAGGCGTAGGTCATTGGTGCACAGACTGTGTGGGCGTCTCCAAGTACACTTGCTATTTTGGTTCATGTTGGTGCAGAAATGCAAAAGGTCTGCATGGCGGTGAGCATAGATTTTAGGGTGTGGTTATTAATATCCCCTCAGCCGCTGGTCTCATCACAGTGAAGCGTGACTGCTCAACACATAAAGAATTGGCTTCTCCAGGAAATCATGTGGTTGTCTGGAAGGTGCAGAGCCCTAAAGTGTCATTAACATTTAATTATTGCAATGATAGTAATAGCAAATAATTAAAAATTGTTTGGTGAAGCAGTTAATAGTCGTATCTAAAAATTTATAAATAAAATATATAACGTGCCACAGCAGCACTTGCTTCGTAAGGCATTTCAAGAAAAAAATATGTGAACTGAATTAAAAATAAACATTGGAAAGCTGTGACGTACACAATTAATGCACCCTGGTAATATTGTGAGTTATTAGTAGAATCCTGGAGTCTTTTGCGTGTGATTTAATGAAGGTAAACACAGTGTAGACTTGTGTGTAATGACACAAGGATACAGATTATCAACATACATCTATCTTGCCTAGATTTACTGAACTGAAGGAGAAGCTTCTACAGTACAAAGCATCCAGATGCCCTATCACTCATTAATTTATAGAAAAATGCAGATTGTTTTACTGGACTACACCAAACGTTATTTATATCGATTTAAATGTTTGTTTGGAAAGTGTTTATTAAAATAGCTTAGTTCTATTTTAACCAGTACGCTGGTATTGCAGAATAAAAAGTCACCTAACTGAAAAAACTTGACTTCATTACACAGCGTTGCAGAAAGATTCTTTTTACTAAAAATCATATAAATTTGACTTATGCTGCAAGTTTAAAGTTCATGTTTTTCTTTTTTCCAAAACTGCATAATAAATGTTTTCAACTTTACGACCGTAAGGTCGATATGTAAACAGAAACACACACGCAAAGATACTGTCATTCTGTCTTTGTATTCAAAAGTTTAAGTTAAACTTAAATCAAACTGTATTTTTGTTGTCTGCTATGTAAATTCAATTCAATTTTATTTGTATAGCGCCAATTCATAACAGAAATTATCTCAGGACACTTTTCAAATAGAGCAGGTCTAG